TTCCAATGTTGCTCAAATCATTGCATATTTATGTATTTATTTTCAAAGATTGCAAGGTCACCCAAATTACGCAGTCTTAACAGAGAACTACTGCTAGAGATTTTAGATGCTATTGCTGACTACATGAAGAGAGCTACCAAACCATGACAAAAAAAGTCAAGATAAATTTAAGTGAAATATAAATTGAACTGTGTATATAAAATCAAATACATTTAGGGCAAAAATGGAAGTCACAGTATTCAAGATTTTGTGAATATTGCTAAATAAGACATATGAATATTTTAATATAAAATRKATTGACATTGAATAAAATTACAACARTACATCAGTAACAAGTCYGTCATCGCTTTGGTAATTTGAGCAAGTTATCTGTCAGTGATACATCTCTTGAAGGWGTGTTGGTCTGTTTGGGCGTGGTAGGGGTGCGAGGTGTRTATGGGCTAGGGGTAGTAATTCTATCTGATCTAGGTGTATAGCTGGCAAGGAGTGCCTTATCACTGCCAGTCTTAATACCAAGTCTTTGAGATGCAAGACGTTGAGCTGCTGGTGACATAGTATTSAGGCGCTCTACTGAATTTAATCGAGAGGATGGACTCCTAAGAATAGAAAACAAACAAAAAGGTTAAAAAAATTATAATTGAAGTATAATCTGCTCAAAGGATTAAATAAAATATGCAGGAAAAGAAAACTCTCTAGGCTATAGCTATATTATAGTGCAATGTGTAAAAGTGTGGCCACTGATTATTGATGTACTTCTGCCTTAACTTGTCGTTACGATGGACGGTGATTGTCTTGATCCCAGACAGGATAACACAATCTTGGTTAATAAGCAAGAAAAAGTGAGTACACTAACAGTGGTTGCATTTTTACAAGTTGTCATGTCWTATTTGGTAGTATATTTATTATTAGTTCATGGTTTAAATAAATTTTTCCTATTTTCTGACTAAATTCAAGGATGCAAGCTACAAATTTCTGCCACCTTCTCCAGCCACAACATTCTATCCCACAATCGTCRATCRTCTACAGTACCCTATTGAAGCATTAATGTCCAAAAAATTAAAATTGTACAAAAAGCATTCTTACTTCCCAATCATTGCTGCTGCTTGAGCTCTTGCTTGTCTGGTCTTTTCTCTGTGTTTCCTACTGACTTTCTCTGCAAGTGCAAGTCCTATTTGTTCCCTTTTCTTTGGTTCAGGCATCTTGAACACCTGTCCTGGGGTATTTGGTCTTGGTGTGTCACTAGCATCTAGTCTAAATGGTGTTCCATCAATGGATCCCCAAGTCATAAGAGGTGATGCATCAACTCCTGAAAATAAAAACCATATTGTAATAAGATGAGTCTAAACCCTTACAAGTTCTTGCTGGAAAAAATGAGATTATAGAAATATTAAAGTAAGACATCAGGGACTGCGGAGCTGGGGGGCTATAGCCCAGGCCATTTTGAATTTTCTTAAATAAAGAAGTGAAGAGCCTCCTTATGAAATTTCACCATGTGTATTCTATAGAGATTGTGTAAAAACTGAGCGTGAAGTGAAGCTTGTGAAGTCTTTGGGATTTTATTAATATATACTGTGACCATGTGTGTGATTTTAGCAGTCAGAAATATGTCTTTTTTTCAGAAATATGTATTGGATAATGCCTCAAAACACTGGAAATGACATTTCCGAGAGAT